GATTTGGAGGATTTTTTTTTTTTCTGACACTATAGAGGTTCCCGGGTCAAATTGACCCGCGAACATTATAGCTGTACATCAGAAACGAACATAACACGAGGGTTAAACGTAAAATATCACAGGACAGCACAAAGAAGTCACTACAGCTAACTCATTATTTCACTTGTGTCCACCTGCAAAGTGTTGCTTTCAAATTTCGGTTAAATGGAAATGGTTAACATCCTTTTTAGGACACTAACACGTCCTAAAAAGGACGTGTTAGTGTCCATGTCCTTTTCAGGAAATACTATAGAGGAGAAACCATATATCTTACACTATTTTGTAAAATGCAGTGGTATCTCAAATTATCTTCCTTCTCGTCCTTCCCTTAGAGTTGGTCTTCTATGTGCAATAGCCTGTAAAAACATTTATACAGATAATTCATTTAAAACAGTGATTTCCAAACAGTTTCTGGGTGCCCCCTGAGGATTTCAATAGGGAGAGTTAGACTTTGTTCTTTTTATTTAAATGATGTGTGTTACCAGGAAGGATGGGAGTAGCAGAGAGACTCCACCCCCCGCCCCTCCTATTACACACAGCGTTCATTTTCTTTCTTTTTTCCATTCATCCATCCTGCGCCCTCCTTGCAATGGCATGGCACACACACACACACACACGCACACATTTAAAAGTCACGCCCTCTGGCGTTAGAAATGAAAGATAAAGTGTGATTGATTGTCTTCCCCTCCGTCTCACGTATCATATCCATTAAAGTATTTAAAGCAGGATCAGAAATCAGCTCTTCATCAGCCAGGAGGGCAGAATGATCATTTTTCAGAGTTTCTTGCTGATCAGTCTGCAACATGTCATGGATCAAGGTAAGTTCAGCTGGTTAATCGTTTTCTTGCGAGGAAAAAAAAAAAACGTCACTCGTCCTCCTCTCTAGAGACACAGCTTTACTGATGGATACGTAAAATATTTTAATGATCGTCATTAAATGTACGGTTTTACATCGCAGTGAAGTTAGTTTCAAGTTGGATATTCGATATTTGAGCTCTGGGCAGTAAGCGGCGTTTAGCTCAAGGTTGATCCAATTTATGAACGCTACTGTCGGCCAGCGGTTCTCCACCGCCCCGGCCGCAGCGCCCCAAGGTTCACTTAGGGACTATCAACAAATTACCGAACCAAACATTCCTGTCAAACAAATGTTAATAAATGCCTTGAATTGTAGCCAACTAACTGTCAGTGCTAATTCATGCTTTTACATGAGACACAATATCATCTATTACATTTTAAAGCCATATACAATATTTTCAATAGCTAATACACAGACATTTCTTTTCCATTCTAAGTAATTTTCCTTTTTTTTTTTTTAGGATTTTCTTTGTCAAAATTGAGGGTTTTTCTTCAATAGCTTCCAAGTCATGTGACCTGTTGACTCTGAATCAGTCTGAAATTGTTCTACAAATCAGTAGAGACTAGGCACAGTCATCTGTTTTCCATTTTAACTCGTTTTTTAGTAATTATTTTGTCAAAATTTAGTATTTTTCTTCAATAGCTTCCAGGTCTTGTGACCCATTGACCCAGAATCAGTGTGAAATTGTTCTACCAGTCTGTATAGATGAGACACACTCATTTATATTCGACTTGAGTCTTTTTTATAATTTGAAGGTATTTTATATATTAGCTTCTAGGTCATCAATCAATCTGTCGATCAATCAAATTTCATTTGTACAGCACATTTCAGCAGCAAGGCATTTCAAAGTGCTTTACATAATAAAAACATGAAAACACAGAGTCATGCAACATAGAATCAACAATCAAAACATGACATTAAGTTAAGAGCTGTCATTAAATTCGTAATTGATTACGTTTCAAATACAACTCTAAACAGGTGGGTTTTTAGTCGAGATTTAAAGGCACTCAGTGTTTCAGCTGTTTTACAGTTTTCTGTACGTTTGTTCCAAATTTGTGGTGCATAGAAGCTGAATGCTGCTTCTCCTCTTTGGTTCTGGTTCTGGATGCAGAGCAGACCAGAACCAGAAGACCTGAGGGGTCTGGAAGGTTGATACAACAGCAGATCTTTAATGTATTGTGGTATTAACCGTTCAGTGATTTATAAACTAACAACAGTATTTTTCTATTCTAGTCTGTGAGCTACAGGGAGTCAGTGTAGGGACTTTAACACTGGTGTGATGTGAGAACGAGGGCAGGAGTTCTCACTAAACTGTGACCCAATTACTCGAAATCAGTGTAAAATTATTTTAGTAGACTGGAGCAATGAGGTACGCTCATTTTTTATTCATTTTGACCCATTTTATTTTTTTTTTAGGCAATTTTATATTTAAAAAATATATTTCCTATTTTCTCTTCATCTCCATAGGCTGCCACCTTATCATGATGAAAGTGTTTGAGTGTTGAAGTGACTCTAGGAGTTATGCTGTCAGGGGTTTCATACCCCTTGTAGGGTCACCCAATGCTAGAGGTGATGAACCAGACAAAGAGCAGCCCAAAGACCCTTTATGAAGAGCACAATCAGTGTCCCCTCACCTGGACGCAGGTCACCAGGGCACCACCTTGGAGCCGGGCCTGGAGTTGGTTCTCCGTGGCAGCATCTGGTGCCAAAACACATG